TGGTATATACGTTGCTGTGTTGAAGAAGCTTCTCATCCTATTAAATCAGTTCTTGTAAGAAGCCACTATATGAGAAGTTTTCAAAGGCAAATGGTGGTGTAACTATCTGAATGTTTCATTGTCTACTGTCGCCTATACACAGGAGTCTGGAAGTGTTTAATAACACACAGCACTTACATATTTGCTGAATGTTATCTGCTACGAATTGTTGGTCCAGATATACCTGACAGCAAGTTGCACAGTGACATAGGAGAGGTCTGCTACAAATGTAGACACAAGTGGAAGCCCACCCCTTCAATGGTCAACATGCATGTGTTTATGCAGGACTAGGACTCAATTGTGCTAGGTGCTGTGCAAACACAACAGAAAGATAGTTCTTACCCCAAAGAGATTACTGTCTAAATCAGACAACAGATGGATATGACAGGCTACAGCTATGTGTTTACTTCCACCAGCTTTGTCAAACTAAAAAGGCTTTGTGAGAGCAAAGTTAATTAAGAAAGTGCATAGGGTGCCTCCTATCAAGAATTGAAGCTAGAAGATTATTATAAAACCCTAGCAAACTCTGGATAGAGTGACCTATAAGAAGAAACATACCATCTCTGAAGTCTTTTGCCATATCAGTGTATGTTCACCCTGGCCTTAAAATGAGATTATGGTTGGTCTAGCTAAGTCATCAAGGCAATAGCCACCTGGTTATTATGGTGGCCATGAAATCTGGAGCTGATTGTAAGGATTCACCATCTACTCAGATGTTGGAGTCACCAAGCACTATCAGCCTTGTTGTTTCCAATGCCACTGCAGTGTGGACACTTCATCAGCTCAGGCAGGGACTTTGCAGTGCCGTGTGGGAATCAGTAGACCAAATCTAATCCTGATTTAACACCACAGAGGGACTCAAATGCTAGATGAACACCGTGAATTTTGGAAGTCTTGTGGTAGAAGACTCCCTGTACTTCAGAATGGTTGCAAAATGCATAGTCACCTCATCTCTCTGGTGATTCCTCTTTGGTTCATACTGGACCAAATACCCAGCTGGAATCAAACAGGCCAAAAATGGCTAAGCAGGTTTCTGTAACACATACCAGAATGGGGACTGTGACAGTGTGGAATATCTCTGAACAAATTATGACTTCCATTTTGTACACTGTCTTCTGTTTTGTGTGTTGACTACCATTTTGTATTCTGTATTGAAAAACCAGTTTGACCTTGGTAAGGTCAGTCTTATGCTGCATTCCAGATAGGTGACCAGCGTAGGAAAAAGACTTGACATCTAGTTGAATGACTATGACTGAGAAGCCATCACGGAGCAATCTAGGGCCATCAATTTTGTCTCTTGACTGCTGTCCCAATCCCATGAAATAATGAAAACTCTGCACAGAAGCCTGACTGGGGAAGGGGCTGGAATATCTTAGCATGGGTACATGGCAAAAGAGAATAGATACTGTATTTAAGGAGGATGGCTTCTCAATGGAGTGGGGTCATCCACTGCCACATGGAAAAGGAACTGGCTGGAGAAAGAAGGCATGGGGCCTCTGCCTGGTCTAAAATGCTGGCAAGACCTCAGAAGGGGTGAGATCAGACTAAGGAAGGGGGCATCGCAGAACTTCTGTTATTTTATAAAGATCTGTAACTCTCTCTTTTTTAAGAGTAAAGTGACAGGTGTTAACCTCGGCTGAGCTTGTTCTTTGCCTTTTGCCATGTTCTCGAAGTGGTTAACCTTTAACCCCAGAGTGACTAGAGACTAGGTGGAGCTCTGAGTGTGCGCAAGTGACTATGGGGGCTCAGGAGGTCTAAGGCACTGGTTCCAGAGTGTGCAGGCAGCGGGACAGTGGAGTTGCACATCCCATGGAAGGATTTTAATCAAGTAGTCTGAGCATGGCGTGTGTCTTACAGACCCAGAGCTAGGAACAATGATCAAGGTTTGCGTGGTGGACCCAGTTGGCTTAGAAGCAAGAACTGATGTCCATCCAGAGGGGGGACTGGGCCAGTTAATGACATAGCCCTTGTCCTTAATTATACCATGGACAAGTTAGAACTTTATTAAGCACCTCTCTTGCATTTAAGTGCCCAAATCAGTAACTAAGCATTTAAAATGTTAGGCACCAAGCCTGAAGATTTGACTTGCTATCGCTTAGCTGCAAACAATTTTCTCCAAGGTTGAGTTAACAAGGCAGCAATGTATTTGATTCTGTGAGGGCTATATTTTGGCAGCTAAAAAATATTTTTTTAAAAAATTCCTGAAAAAAGGTAAGAGTGTTGCAGAATGCAGCTGTAATTTTGATGAAACTAAAAAAATCTGATATCCACATTCTGGCTCTGGCTGTTAAGGTGGTAGATTTGGAGGATTTTACAGCATGTGATTCAATGAGACATTTATAGGCTCACTCATGCAAATTATGTCCCTATATCTTCCATGCTAAGCAAATAAAATGTGTGTTTGTATGTCACAAAGAGTGTGGGTGAGTTACAGTTTGCTGCTGGGTCGTGGTGGTGGGAGTAGGTATAGAGTGATGGAAGTGTGACATTAATTTTTCAGAATAAACGCCCCTGTCATTTCCAGTCCACCCTAACTGGAAAAAACTGCATGAATTTTCTGTTTTTAAAAGGAAATTATTTAGCAAGGATGGGCAATTTCAGCCCAAATAGAGGGTGTTTGAAAATCTATATTTTATTTATTTGTTTGTTTGTCTTGTATAAGCAAAAATAGGAGGTTATAACTAAACCTGTTTTGACACCTTGAGTTTGGCATTCTCTGCTAAGCAAACATTATAATACCACTTATATAACCATTTCACTGAAGGATCTCAGAGTACTTTACAAACGTTAATTAGTTAGGCATCACCACACTCCTGTTATTAAGGCACAGAGGGTTCAGTGACCAGTTCTGCAGGATGCTGAGTGCCCTTGGTTGTCCTGTCTTTAATGGGAACTGAAGGAGTCTCAGCACTTCCCAGCTGCTCAGCACATCATAGGATCAGGCTATATGTGACTTGCCTATGTCACACAGCAATGCCTAGAAGTCGTGACTCTTAGCTCTTTGCTATGCCTACTAGATTGCACTCCCTTGGGTAACAGAGATGCTGCTTGAAAAGAAAGGCATTTTATAGCCAGCTGAAGTACTACCTGCCAAAAATAAGATGAGAGGGAACGAAAGTCCCAGATCATGGCAATTACCACATTTCCACCTGAGTGAGAGGGAATTGAATTACCTGTTATTAATTCCCCCCCTCCGGATCCCAGACTCCATATGCCTTTCAGGAATCTGTCTAGGAAACACTGACATTCTATCTCGCTCTCTTAATACCACGTGGCTTAGCTCTTTGTCATTATTTGTGGAACCCTTCCACAAAGCTCCCCTGGGAAAGATAAATTAACTAATGGATTTTTCTGCACTGATTGTTCTCTCTCTTCCTTTTCCCAAAGCACATCACACCTCTCCACTTCATGTCAGGCACCCCTACTCTAGGCACCGACAAACCACCCACCTCAGTCCTACACCTCCATACAGACCGCCCACCCAAACACCGAGAAACAATCCGCTCTCACCCGCTTTCAGCATTGACAAACCACCCCTTCTTCAAGCCCTTGCACGGGGAACCCCTTCACCTCTCTTACCCATCCCCTCACAGTTAAGTCGACCAACACCTCCCACTCCCACCAGCACGCTCCATACACCATACTCCTACAGCTCCATCGCACAGCCCTGGCCCCTACACTCTGACAACCCGCCCTCACTCAAATCCCACTGCACCTCTCCATTACACACCCCTAAAAGGAAACCACTCCAGCCACCGCTTGCGTCCTTCGCCCCTACGGTCCCACCGCTACGGCTACATTACCCAGTTCCCCACCGCCAAACACCCTGTCCCTCTCTTCCAGCCCCTACACACTGCTCACCCCTCCGCCGTAACAGGCGCACCGCACACCCTGACTCCCAGCTTCAGCTGCCCTACATGCAGCAGACTTCTCTAGCTGCCTTGCATGCACCCCAAAATCTCCCCCGTCTCTGTCCGTCACACGTCTCACTCCTGCTGAGATGCACACAGACCCGCCATGCCCACCTCCTCACACACACTCCTCCAACAGGCGCACCCCACCCCACCAGCCCCGCCCCAATCCCGCACCGGATACCTAGACACCACCCCTCCGCTCGCTCCTCTCGCACCGGGGGCCCGGACAGAAGGAGAGCACGGGGCCCAGGGGCTGGCTGACGCGTGTGAACTGCCCAGGGGTCACTCCCCCGCCAGAGCGGTGTGCGGCTCACATCCAATCCCCTCCCGCGCCAACCCGCGGGCAGTGACAGCGGGACCTGCCCCCGCCACGCCGGCCGGCCGGCTGTATAAAACTCGGGCTCGGATTCCCCGAGCTGCGAAGGCGAGGGAGCGAACACGGTGCGAGCGAGCGAGCGAGCGAGGAGTGCCGCTGCTTGAGCAGGCAGCCGCTCCAAACCCGCGGGGAAGGAGAGCGGAACTTTGTCCGAGGCCAGTGAGACCTGCCCAGGGAGAAGGGAGGAGACCCGGGCAGGAGAAGGGGCAGGCGGAGAGAGGAAGGGAAGCGCGCAGCAGGCTGGCCGCGGAGCTGAGCGCTCTCTGGGAGCGCTAACAGGTGCGGCCAAGTGACCCTGCCCGCTGTCCCGCTCCGCCTCCTCACTCTTACACCGCGAGTAGGGGGGTCCCTGCTGCGGGGGCTTGTCTGCCACCCCCGTTTCTCCCCCCCCCCGAGTCCCGCTGAGGACCTCGGCCACTGCCAGCAGGTCTCAGGGCTCTCGGCGGGTGGCCGCGATGGTGGAAGATAACGCAGACACCACCTCCAGCCGCGGGGGATGCCCGGACCAGCTGCAGCCGTACCCAAGCAGCCGGCAGCCGGAGGAGTGGGAGATGGAGAAGTCGGTGCAGGCCCCCCCAGGGCAGCCCGGAGGCAGCCGCTTGGTGGGAGGCAGCTACCCGCAGAAAAACGCCGAGATCCTGAGCAGCCAGTACGGCATCAACTTGTTCCTAGCCGGGCTGCTGCTCATGTTCGCCTGGGCTGTGCATGCGGTGGGCATCAGGAAGCAGGATCTGCTCTCCTATCTCATCACCATCATGCTCATCCAGCTGCTCTGGATGCTGTGGTACATCTGCAGGAGCTACACCCAGAGGAGGCTGATCCAAGAGAAAGACACCCACGCAGGAGCCCGCTGGTTAAAGTGTAAGTCGCGGGTCCCACTTCCATTTACTGGCAAAGCCAAGGCCGGGCTTTGGTTTCCCCTGCGAGGATAGCCAAAAAAACCCAGCAACCTCCAGGGGGCTCAGCGCCTCTTAGGGCCAAATCCATGGTCTGTGTACTTGCCCTACCCTTGGCCATATAGTAGTGAAGGTCCCTATACTCCAGCAGAATGGAAATTTCTAGTCGATTCATTCCATGCAACCTGCAACTTGTCAGTCAGGTTACTGTGAAAAGAGAAATTTCACTCCCAGAGGGTTCCTCTGAAATCCCCTAATTTCTACCAGAGCCAGAGAGATGCATCACACCAGTATATTTGAAGTTCCTTTTTGTTATGTTGTTCTTCTGTTCTTCATAATGATCATTTTCTTATTTTCTGTACAAAAACAATAAAAACCAACCAACCAACCAAAAAAAAAATCCACTACATAGTTATATCTAGATATAGAAATAGATGTAGATATAAATTATATGGATACCAATCATACAGGTGAACATACTAAAGACTGAAACCCCCACCCCCCACTCTACTTATTTAAAACCTAGATACCAGGATGGCAGGCACATTGAAAATAAGATAGTTAGGTTAGATCAGGCAATTATGTAGGTGAGAGTCTATTTGTCTAGAGGAATTTGGGACTTGGGAAGTGCACTCTTTTCAAGCAATGCAGTATTATTTATTTTATTGCAGAATGCATCACAGGTGTCAAAGTCTGTCTATACAAATAAGCTATTATTATTTATTACCTGTATTATCTGTAGGAAAGGGATAGGTAAGAGAATGAGTAAATATTATAATGCCACTATATAAATCCATGATACATACACACCTTGAATACTGCATGCAGTTCTGGTTGCCCCATTTCAAAAAAGATACATTAGAATGGGAAGAAGTACAGAGAAGGGCAACAAAATGATTGGGGGTATGGAAAACCTTCCTTATGAGGAGATATTAAAAAGACTAGGACTGTTCAGCTTGAAAAAGAGATGACTAAGAGGAGGTTATGTCAGAGTTCTATAAAATCATGAATGGTTTGGAGAAAGTGAATAAGGAAGTGTTATTTATCCCTTCACATAACACAATAACCAGGAGTCACCCAATTAAATTAATAGGCAGCAGGTTTAAAACAAACAGGAGGAAGTACTTCTTCACAGGGCACACAGTCAACATGTGAAACTCATTGCCAGGGGATGTTATGAAGGCCAAAACTATATTGTGGTCCAAAAAAGAATTAGATAAGTTCATGAAGAATAGGTCATCAGGGGCTATTAGCCAAGATGGTCAGGGTTGCAACCCCATGCTCTGGGTGTACCTAAGCCTCTGACTGCCAGAAGCTGGGAATAGAGCACTCAATAATTGCCCTGTTTTGTTCATTTCATCTGAAGCATCTGGCACCAGCCATTGTTGGAAGAGAGGATACTGGGTTAGATGGACCATTGGTCTGACCCAACATGGCCATTCTTATGTTCTTAAGGTGCCATAAGCATTTATGGTGCTTTTCAGACAGGCAAGAAGACAAGGACCCTTCCCCAAGGAGCTTGCAGTTTAGGATATAAACTATGTGTACCATTCAGGTAGCACCTGTAGGCAAAAAAGGGAATTTCTGGGAAGTTTTGCAAGGCTTTTGCAGCAGCAATTATTTGCACCATCATGTGCATATGGGATATAGGCCCTCAATGGTTTTATTTAATTGTGTATTGAATAGTGTGACAAAGTCACATTAACTTAAAAGAATGTAGTGTTTCAGGTTGTAGGAAAAAAGCAAGGTCCTTTGCAGTAACCATTGAGCTGTAGTTTCTCAACCCTACTGTTGTGCCTTCTTTAGTCTCTTATTGTCAGTATTAATAGTACTTGCAATTTGTATTGTTTTATTAAAACCGAAAGTTATACATCCGTTTTCTGCATAATCACTTTGCTAAAAATTTATACTATTAACATGGCATCACATGAATAGTTACTGCTTATTATTTACTATTTCCCATAATAATATGCCATTCTTAGCCATAACTTGGTAGTTAAACAGTTTTACTTTAGTAGGATAGATGGGTCAAATTCTTCTTGGGTGTCATTTGAATTATGCCAGGGTTGAATTTGGCTTTATTTTGGGCCAAGTTCTGCTACCTTTACTCACATTAAGTAGCACTTTACTCCTTGAGTAGTTCCATTAATTGAGGAACAAGATACTACTCAAGGGTGGCAAAATCTGGTCCTTTATCTTGGTGGCACATTTTTTCACTTGCCATGGAGGATATAATGAATCATAGAATCTCAGAAATAAAATATGCAAAAGAACTGTTAGGTCATCTTATCCATTTCCTCCACCAATGCAGGATTGCTCTTTACAGTCTTCCACAATTTCCATTGGATGACTATTTCAGTCTAATAAATTTCACTGTTGGAATTTTTTTTCTGATATTCAGACCACATTTTCCTATGCTTAGTTATTGCTTGGACAATTCTAGACAATTCCTTTAACCAATGTTAGAAGAAAACATACCTGGATTTATTAACAAATGTCCAATCCTGCAGTACTTACTCTGGCAAGACTAACATTACCTTCCTTTTCCAGAGTTAGAACTCCATACTGATCTCTTAAAAAGTATCAATAATTGTGTAATAAAAATGATTAGCTAGTAGAACTGTTTACAAGTTTGAAAAAAAAAGAAATGTTTTGTCATTGATTTATTGACTCCAAGACCAGAAGGGATCACTGTGACCATCTAGTCTGATCTCCGGTATAACACAGGCCATAGAACTTCCCCCAAATAATTCCTAGAGCAGATCTTTTAGAAAAATATCCAATCTTGATTTTAAAACGGTCAGTGATGGAAAATCCATCAGAGCCTTTGGTAAATTGTTATACTGGTTAATCACTCTCACCATTAATTACTGTTACCATTTTCATGATAATTTTCACACGTTTTCCTCATTTTTTTGGCCAGCTCTATTAGCTAGTTTTTTAGAATGTGCCTCTTTGTTCTCATTGCATAAAGAAAATGTGCATGAATTAACTGGTAAGACTAGAAAAAAGACTGGTTAGACTAGAAAATTTTAATATTTATCTAGATTACTTAGTTGGATTTAATTGTCCAGCGTTTTGATACCCAATAAATGACATATTTTATGTATTTTCTTTAGTCAGTGAATACCATGGTGAAAAGCTGTAACTAGGTTACCACTTATGGCTTGCATTTTACCAGCATAAATGTTGGATGAGAATTACTGAACAAAAACATCTTTTTATATAGTTATGTATCTTTTTATATCCATTTCTAACCAGATCTAACCAACTAGATATTGGCAGTTTGAACCTTAGAGAAGTGTTCTTTCCCAATTTGTATGGTATACAAAGCACATCTCCTGAAGTCTTAATGTAGACAATGTTTCTATTGACTTCAGTGGCTGTTTTGCTTCCTTAGGATTATATGAGCATGCCCCAAGTAATCATTTCCTCAAAGCTTTGAAGAAAGATGCATAAATGAAGTCCTTTGCCTGACTTACTCCAGTGTGGCATTTTCCTGTCGTGATCTCATGGTTAAAAAAAGCCATAGGCACTACACAAGAAAACAGTGAAGATCAATCAAATGAGGTGGACATCTTATGAAAAAAAGGGACAAACAAACAAATTGCTCCCATGAACAAGTTTATTCTATTATTTTCTCCAACATCACAAGTTATACCTAAATTATGGCCAGCCTAGTTAACTTGGACTATGACCCTTAGCCTCAAATTTGAATGTTGGGCATTTTGTATATGTTGTTGGTGTATTGGGCTAAGACATTAGCTGTACTACTTGTTGTTTGAACCAGCCCAAACAAAATATTTTTAATTTATATGAGTCACAGAAGACTTCCTTGAAGTCAATGACACAACTCTCATTGACTTCAATGGGAGCAAGTTTGAACCCATAGCATATTTAGAGAGAACCAAAGGAAGCATGTGTGCAGAAATACTCATTATGACATAAATCATAATTACGCGGTGTGGGGGGAAAGTAAGTGTTTCTCCACTGACCAGTTAGAATACATGTCTAAAACATGTGAAATCTAGAACCCTCATTAAAGGAAATCCATGACTATGTGTAATACAAAGTTACATGGAAAGGAGTTACAATAAATATACAACAGCTGATTCATGCAAAAACAAGATATGTGCGTAGTGGAGGGGTCTGATGAGGAATCTACGATATGATTATTTATGCTTTTGTGTGTTTAAGCCTGACTTTCTTTCTTTCTTTCTTTCTTCACCTTATTAATGCCTTAAACTCAGTTGAACTCTTCTCATAAGTGATGGAAAAAAAGCATGCAGAATCAGACCCTAGGACTGTGCATCCCTTTCACCAACTGCATTGCTTCACCATTTCACTCTGTTGTAAATTATAAATATATGCATACACCATTTTTTTTCTCACTACCATTTTTTTCTCACTTTAGTTCTTAACTAAAGTGAGAAAAAATGGTGTAAACATATATCTATAATATATAAAGATTATATATTAGGGTTTGAGCCTACACCACTGAACTCAATGGAAAATTTCCCACTGGGATCAGGATTAGGGTCTTAAATCATTTCCAATCACACACCAAGTCAGTCTATATATTAGAATTTATTAAACAAGAACCACATATGTTTTTCTCCAATGTAATATAAACTGTTGCTGCAGAAGGATCTTGTTTCCTGTTGATGAGATAATTATATTCAAAACGAAATAAATCCTCAAGACATGTTGAAACCATTAGAAAAAATATCCAAATAGACTGATTTTTAAAATTGCATTTTTTTGGTAGTAGTTTCCTTGGTATTTTTAGAAATTAGTCCTGAAAGTTATTTTAATTGAATTAACAATGCTAATTCCCTTTAGAACAATATTAATTCCTTGTAGAAGGAAACCTAAGTGACTGACTGCTAAAGCAGTCTAGAATCTACCACCTTACAGTACAATTTACTTGTGTACATAATGAAAAATTATACAGTATGTGTAGTTAAACCTAGGGCCCAATCCTGCAAACACTTCCATATGTGAGTAATGTCACTCAGATAATAACTAGTCTAACTGAACTCAATGGGAATACTCACTTGAGTAAAATTACTCACACACACAGGTGTTTGCCGAGTGGGCCCTTAGTTATTGAACTATAAAAGTGAAAAGTTGAGGCCAAATTCTCTGCTGGTGTAAGGTATATCCCTAGGGATTTTGGTCTTTGGTTTCTTTATATAGTGAGTATTTGTAAAATATGAAACTAAAAATACTAATGGAAATGAAATTCTTCAGGTTGCATTCTGTTTCCAAATCTGTTTTTGTATATTGACAAAGAGCTAATGAATTGAATAAACTGTGTTATTTTAAAAATGGCTGTAGCAAAGTGATTAATGTATTTTTTTTCTCCACTGCACCTGATTTGGAGCTTCTTGTATGCAGTGTTGTTGTAGCTGTGTCAGTCCCAGGATATTAGAGAAACAAGGTGGGTAAGGTAATACCTTTTATTGGACCAACTTCTGGTCCAATAAAAGATACTACCTCACCCACGTTGGAGCTTCTTGTTCATTTGTAATGAACTGGTGAGTACACTGTAAATATGAATAATTCCCAAACAGCAACAATTACACTGTATTTTTAAAATTTTCATTCAAATAAATAGCTCATCTTTAGTAGGGTATTGAATGAAGGGTCTTCTTGGTTGACTTGTTAACTTTAATTGTAGGGAACAAAATATATATTGCCCCAAAACAATAATTTCAGTGGAACATCTCATGTTAATAAGGTGAGCAGAATTTGGCCCTTTAAGTATAATATAAATACTGAATAAAATCAGCTCTTGTGATATCGTTTACCATCTTTATATCACAATTCTCTTTGAGCAATAAGAAACAGGGACAAAGACACAGTGATCTAAGTTCTGAGGGTCCTTAGCCAGTTTTTACCTGGTCTTTATTCAGCTAAAGTTAAGTTAAAGTCAATGGGAGTTTGTCTGAGTAAGGACTTAGGAAAAAACTTGAATAAAAGTCTCAGAGTCTGGCTCAGTAATTTTATCTCCCGTTGTGTCTTGTTGCTTAATTATGCTGGTACAATAAGGTTCAATAGCAACATAGCTGTATCTTATCATATAGCTTTCCAAAATGAGTTCCCATTTAGATCTTTGAAGTGAAAGACATTGGAGTTATACTAAAAAAAACAACAACAACAAAAAACAGTAAAGGAAACATTTAAAAAAACCCTTTAAAAACATTATATAAAAATTTAGACAAACGTTTGTTTGTTTATGTATGTATGTATGTTAAAGTAATGGATCTCAGGATGAAGTCTGAAATCTGAGTGCATTTGTAAAAAGAAAAGCATACAGTTTTTGGTCTCTGACTTATAGTGGTTCAGTATAACCTTCTGAACAATTGAGATGGCATACCAAGTGATTGTATTACTGCCCAGTGTAGGACTCTTGGGTCAGGAGACTGTAACATTATTGTTCAGCTCTGTGAGCGGTATAGTTTGCTGTGTAGCTATATAGTGCATTAATTCATTTGACTGTATAACTGGCTCTGTGCTACAGTTACTTGAGGCTCTGATTCAGCAAGATGCTGAGCAGCTTCTACAAGATGCTGAATGCCCTCAACTCCCTGGGAACTGTACGATTGGTCCCTACATACTGCATGAGCTATTCATGTATTGTGCTTACGCTTAAGTCCTAGATTGTGAAGGAGCTTTCATGAATTACAGAGCTTTATTGCATGGAGTAAACTGATCTTATGACCATTTACTTATTTTACTGATTAGTAGGGATAGCCTTTTCAAAACATGAATTTTCATTTATTAGTACAGATTCTCTGAAGATGGGTTAACTGTATATTAACATTTTCTAATATTTGTTTTGTCTTAGGTGGGATTACATTATTTGCAGTGATTACTTTAATTCTGGACTCTTTTAAAATTGGATACTTTATTGGATTTTCAAACTGTTTATCAGCAACTGAAGGCATTTTTCCTGTCACACATGCAGTGCATACGCTTTTACAGGTAAAAGTAACCAGTTTTAGCTTGTTGTTATGTCTGTTTTTCTCACCAAGCATAATTTTTGTCTGTTCCTCTTGTTCTGTTTTTCCTAAATTAGTTTCTAAAAACATTAGGAGATAAGTTGTTAAAGGCTAAACTTTTTGTGTATGCATACCCCTTTCTGCATGCAAACTGGGATTTGAGCATGCAGATCAGGCAGTTGAGCAAGAAGTTTCCCAATTTGTATCCAAAAATGCCTGTTTGTATCTGAAAATGAACTAGCTCCTTACACGTAGAGATGTATGTATAAATGTTTCACATGGATAAAAAGGTCTCCTAAAAATTTGATCCCACATTTGGCACGACATACCTTTTTGTAGTTCAAGTTAGGCACATAGTCGTCATAATTTTTTTTATATGAAATGAGACAAATACATTTCACTGTTGCTTCTGCACAGGAACTTGCCATACTGGTTCAGTCCATCGATCCATCTAGTCTGGTCTCCTGCAGCTGGCAGTAATGAATAACTGATTCTTCAAAGGAAGGCAAACCCCCTAAATAATGTACTTATGTAGTTGTGCAATGCTTGTTCATCTGGGGAAATTCCTTCCTGAAACAAGTAAATGATGGGTTTTCACCCTGAAGCATGTTATTTGATTACGCACATCACTGTGTGCATAGCAGCAAACATAGCCAATAAGGAGTGTACAATTATCCAGTCGTATTCTAAGTCTAGCCATTTGTCTCCATGTCATCATGTGGCAATGAATTCCACACTTGATTATATGTTGCATAAAGAAGTGTTTCCTTTTCTATTATTTTAAACTTACAGACAACCCCCTTGTTATTATGTAATAGGTCAAAAGGGAGAGACTGATGAGATTTTACAATAGCCTCCATAATGTTGAATACCTGAATCAAGATCCTCTTACAATTTCTCCATCCCGGATGGTGAGCCAGATTATGCACCTGTATGAGGGCCAGGCGCAGTGTGTGGTTGGGGGAGGCGCAACTAGCTTCCATTCCCTTGCACAACCAGCTCTGAAGCAGAATTCCAATTCCAATTCCATGTGCAATGCAGAACTGTACAGAGGAAGGGAAAAATAAAAAACATCGATAACTGATGCTAGTGGGGTCACTTAATGCACCTTCAGAAGGTGCATAGATAACATGGCGATGGGCGCAGTATAAGAACTGTGCCAGAAAATTTGGATTTGATTCAAAACTTTCATAAAGTTTGGAAGCCTCTTGATCCAATGTTTTGGTGTAGTCCCTTTTTAAATTTGGCAAATGTTTCACTGAACAGATGGGCAAATGTGGTAGGAATGTGATCTTCTGGTTAGGTGGCTGGAGATCAGAATTCTCAGTTTTGCCAATGAAATGCTGTGTAGACATAGGACCACATTTTCAAAAGTGTCCACTAATTTTGAGTTCCTTAAATCAAAGGTGCTGAACATGGACAATTCTAGCTGAAGTCAATGGGGGCTGCAGAAAATCAGGCCCTGGATATCTCAAGTTTGGCACCAAAAATTGAGGTGCCCAGAATGAATGGACATTTGAGCCTTAATTTACTGTTAATTAATGTGTTTTGGACATCTCAGAACTCCATTTCACTGGGACCATTATCAGACAGAGCAGACATGCAATGTTCTTTTCAAAGGTTCCGTGGAGAAGAAAGAACCATTTTTAGATAAGGGAAGGGCATTAGATCTAATATACTTGGACTTCAGTAAAGCACTTAACTTGATGCCACATGGGAACTTATTAGTGAAATTAGAGAAGATGAGGATCAGTACAAGGTGGTGAATTATAAGGTGGATAAAAGTGCGAAAACAATGGGTTGTGCTGAAAGGTGAATTATTGGACTAGAGGTAGGTTACTAGTGGAGTTCCTCAAGGATAAGTCTCGGGACCAATCTAATTCAATAATTTTATTAGTGATTTTGGCACAAAAAGTAGGCATCTGCTAGTGGAATTTGCTGATGATATAAAGTTTTGAGGCATCGTCAATACAGAGGAGGATCGGAATATTATACAGGAAGATCTGGATGACTGACGACCAGAGTAATACAAATGGGATGAAATTCAAAGTACTAAGTGCAAAGTCATGCACTTAGTGTCTAATACATTTTTTGCCATAAGCTAGGGGCTCATCAGTTGGAAGAAACAGAGGAGGATAAAGACCTGGTTGTGTTGGTCTATCACAAGATGGCTATGAATCATCAACATGATGTGACAGCAAAAAAGACAAATGTGATCCTAGGATGTATCAGGTGATGCATTTCCAGTCGAGATAGAGAAGTATTAATGCCATTGTACAAGGCACTGGTAAGATCTCCTTTGAAATACCGTGTACAGTTCTGGTCACCCATATTCAAGAAAGATAAATATGAACTGGAAAAGGTGTAGAAAAGCACTACTATGAATTGCTGTGCTCTGTTCACTCTCTCTGAAGCATCTGGATATGGCCACTGTTGGAAAACAAAAGACTGGTCTAGATGGACGATTGGTCTGACTCAGTCTGACCATTTTTCTGTTCTTATGATGATCGGGGAATGGAAGACCTATCTTATGAGTGGAGACTGGAAGATGTTGGTATTTTTAGCCTTGCAAAAAGAAGGCAGAGAGGGGTTATGACTGCTTTCTATAAATACATTGGTGGGTAAACACCAGGGAGGGTGAAGAGCTATTTATGCTAAAGGACAATATTGGTGCAAGAACAAATGGGTATGTACTGGTTAGGAACAAATTCAGGCTAGAAATTAGAAGAAGGTTTCTACCCAGCAGAGGAATGAGGTTCTGGAACAGCCTCCCAGTAGGACTTTTGGGGCCAAACAATTTAATTAGATTTAAGCGAGGGCTAGACAAATTTATGAGTGTGATTGTATGACAGGGTTACTTGTGATGGTAGGGGCAAGCCTTGGGACTCACTTCAAGTCTGATGTTCCTAAAATCTCATGCTTCAGGGTTTCAGCCAGCCATCTGCAGGGATCAGGAAGGGATTCTCCTCTTCCCACCTCAAGCCCCTCAATTATTCTGGGTTGTTTTGTTTGTTTTTTATCTCCTTGCTTACCACAGCTGGAGATGGGACATTGGATGCAATGGGCCAGAGCTGTGAGGTGGCACTGAGCACTCTCACTCAAGTTCTTGGCTGGCTGGCACCAGCTCAGGGAGCTCACATGCTCAGGGTCCCCAACATCACATGATCACCAGCCATTTGTGGGGCCAGGAAGGAATTTTCTTCCAGGTCAGATTGTCAGTGACCTTGGGGGTATTTTGCTTTCCTCTGCAGCATGTGGATGCTGGTCACTTGCCAAGATTATCTGGGTATATCTCACTTAATCATGTCCCTGCCATTGCAGGGGCCTCAGGCACTGGTGCACCTCGGTCTCTCCTGTTCTCTGCCTGTGGCAAATAATAGTCTAGACTCCTGTGGCCTGTAATACTGTGGTCTAATTTTGGTTGTTGGGTTGAGGGTGTGGGTGTGGGTTGCTTGCGATTTGCAGATTGTCAGACTAGATGATCTGGTGTTCCCTTCTGGCCTTAAACTCTGATTCTATGCCTGACCCCTTTTCAAGCACTTCCCCTATTGTCAGACTTCAGTATTCTGGGAACCTAACTGTGATTGATGTCTCCAGATTCCATGCCAGCATCCCTTTGGAATCTGGTGTATCATTCCACTATCACCTTGCGTTCCTCATTCATTCCACTAGGTTGCATCAATGGGGAACTAAATCCTGAAGTCTCACTCCATTATCCTTCCACGACCTCAGTATCATCTGATTCTTCTTTTGTCCCCCGCCATTCCCATCTCTCAGACCCAGTCTCCAGTGACGTGCTCTGCCTCTTTAATATCCTCCAAAACTGACCTTTCTGCGCTCTCTTGGCTGCTACAACCTTTGTACCTGCTGTGGTTGTCTCTCAGATTGATTACTACCAACCTTCTCTCCTGCTTTCTGTATGTCACTGTCGTCAGATGCTATATCTCAGGGCCTCCTCTTACTACAGTCACTTCTCCTCCCTGCAGGCTATTCACAGAACCTCTCCACCTTGAATTCCTTCATTGACCTGTCTCTTACCTCATCATTCTCAACATTCTCAGCCTCACCAGGCCCTACATAAATCTCACTGCTGCCTACATCTCTGATCTCACTTCTTACTTTCACTTCCTACATTCCTCTCATTCTCCTTTCCGTTTCCTTCTTTTGGCTTCTTGCCTTTGCTCATGCAGCCACTTTATTCATGGACCATGACTTGTCCATTTGGAGCACTCACTGTGCTCTCCTTCACAGCGCTCCTAAAATCTCACATCTTCCAGGAATTCTTCCTACCTTGTTCCCCTCACCAATGATCTCTCATCTGAACTGTTATCTCATAATTTGTCTCATGTGTGTTATTGTTGTCTATTTTAGACTTTAAGTTCCTTGGGGCAGGGGATTCATCTCCCTTGAACATGCTGTAAAGCCCAATGTAAATGTACTGGCCTATACCTTTTAAATTAATAATACTGGTTGCTAATTGACAGGTGCTGCAAGATGAAAGCACTTTATTAATTAGAAACTTTGTTGGCAGCCTCAACCAAGAAACACTGATGTATGGGTTGGGAACAAGTACGAACCTCTTACCCATCAAAATGCTCCTCTCAGAGAAGGATAGACGCACATAGCAGCACTGCTACTGTTGCAGTTGCAATACCTGTCTTGTGGACAGAGAACTTTATATTTCTGTGCTGTCAGTCTGGTACTTTCCTTCGCATTTTTCACCACTACATGAAAAATAAAAGTCTTTCCAGCTACAGAAACTCAAAGTATGAGATATCTTTTGGATGAGACATGTTTAACGAAGTTTCTACTGTAATCTGTTCCACTGTCTTGTGTATATGAGCGATGTTAGGTTTCTGAGTGGCAGGCAAGTTCTGGGTGAATGGCACAGGGGGCCCAGGGTCATTTCAGATCCATTGAGCCTGATGGCAATGGATCTGCACCAATTTACACCAGCAGAGAATCTGGCCATCAGTGTTTTCCTGTATAACCATCTTCCTTGTTAATACTCACAAATATAGTGACATTTACCCAAATGAACTGATTGTATTTTATCTGTATTTCCATTTAGGTGTATTTTCTTTGGTGTCATGCCAAGGATATTATCCAGTCTTTCAAAACACTTGAAAGGTAAAATGAATATGATTTAGCTCTGGAACATTACTTCTAGTTTCTATGTATGTTGTTTTAACATGTATTGCATTATCATATAAAAATGCAGATAGTGAAAATTTTTGGAGTCTGATTCTACTTTTACTTATGTTTGTGTAAATTGGGTGCAATTCCATTTACAGGCATAAGTGAGAGGGTGAATCATTATTTTTTAATTTATATTTTCAATTTAAACAGTGTTTATACTTTAACAAAAATAGTCAAAGAATATGCATAATTTTTCCACTAATTAAATCATGTGACATGACTGCTACAGCATAGTAACTTTTCATCTTTGGAGTTACACATACCTTTCTCAGAGTAAGGAAATATCACCTGTATGTCTCATGTTTAATTTATTTAGCTGTCTGAAGGGTTATTGGCATCAGTCACTGTGTGCAGTAGCTTGCATTCAGTGACACATGTTTGACAACATCTTAAATTGTTATGGGGGAATGCCTTCTTTGGACCAGATATGAATGTGCAAATATACTGTGGGACAAATTCTGCTCTGACGTATGCCCATGTAGCTCCCATTGAAGTCAGAGGGACTTGTGCACACATCTGACGGCAGACCTTGGCATCTACAGTGTGATTTACATATCCCATTAATCGGAAACACTAAATACACTCAGATGATCTTGAAATAGAGGACTATATTCACTAGCCCGGAACTTGGAAGACCTGGATTCAATTCTCTGTTCTACCATAGACTTCCTGAGTGACTTTGGGCTAGTCATGTAATCTCTCTCTACCTCAGTTCCCCATCTGTACAATGGAATTAATAGCACTTCCCTACCTCACAGGGCTGTTATGAGGATAAATATATTAGAGATTGAGAGTTGCTCAGATACTACGCTAATGGAGACCAGATAAGTGCCTAAGGTAGATAGTGTAAAGTCATAGATTACAAAGACTATACCCATATCTTTATTCACAAAATACATATAGAACAGACAGCACCAATTAAAACTTTCCTACCCAGCTCCCTAAAAGTTGGCCCAATTTCCAGGAATTATGGAGTTATGTTTGCTCAGCACCTCCGTAAATCAGGCTCAGTGTGTCTGAACTCTGGCTTGGAAGGAACAACACCAATAGTGCTGGTAGCAGTCTCCTCTCTGCTTGCAGAAGTGTCAACTGTGCTACAGACAGAGGATGGGAGATCACCATCTGATTTCACATTGCAGGCAAACTGAACCAATGATCATGAGACAAATGTTTTTATACCCCATCCCCAAGTTCCTGAGCTGCCCAGTTACCTTACAATTACCATAAAAATCCATTCTTCTTTTAGGGGAATACAGAGCAGCATCCTCTATATCTTAGCGATAGCTCTTTTTATTTTTAATTAAATAGATGGAAATGTCAAACTAGGTAGTATCTATGAAAATACTTCTTAAAACTATGGCTGCACAGGTGGGCAGCATTCCAGTAGAGACAAAATTAAACCATGATTGAAAAAGTAATAAAAAATATAGGCAACACCATTGAGAAAGGGGAAGAAATCAGCAAAAAGACTTACTGTGGCCAGGGATAAAATGTTCAAAAGTGCCTACGTGACTTAGAAACCTAAGTCTTATGGACTTTCAGTGGGATTTAAGCTCCTAACTCACATAGGTACATTTGAAAATTTTACCTGAGATCTTCATGTGGCATCATTGACTTCAGTGGACTCTCCACCCCTAAATGTCAGATCTCCAGCAAGAATAAAAAAGAATGCCCATTCTACTGTCATCATGCATGGTATTGTACAATGATGAAGTACCACAGATGTAAACCAAGAAGTTTATCTGGTGATGCCTGACAAAGGTGGATGGAAAGCGAGCTAGATTGTCGGGCTCAACGAGTAATGATCAACAGCTCAATGTCTAGTTGGCAGCTGGTTTCAAGCGGCGTGTCCCAGGGGTCGGTCCTGGGGCCGGTTTTGTTCAACAACTTTATTAATGATCTGGACGATGGGATAGATTGCACCCTCAGCAAGTTCGTGGATGCCACTTAGTTGGGGGGAAAGATAGGTATGCTGGAGGGTAGGGATAGGGTCCAGAGTGACCCAGACAAATTGGAGGATTGGGCCGAAAGAAATCTGATGTGGTTCAACAAGGACAAGTGCAGAGTCCTGCACTTAGGATGGAAGAATCCCATGCACCGCTACAGGCTGGGGATCGACTGGCTAAGCAGCAGTTCTGCAAAAAAGGACCTGGGGATTGCAGTGGATGAGAAGCTGGATATAAGTCAGCAGTGTGCCCTTGTTGTCAAGAAGGCCAACAGCATATTGGGCTGCATTAGTAGGAGCATTGCCAGCAGATCGAGGGAAGTGATTATTCCCCTCTATTCGGCACTGGTGAGGCCACACCTGGAGTATTGAGTCCACGTTTTGGTCCTCCCACTACAGAAGGGATGTGGACAAATTGGAGAGAGTCCAGTGGAAGGCAGCGAAAATGATTAGGGGGCTGGGGCACATGACTTACGAGGAGAGGCTGAGGGACCTGGGCTTATTTAGTCTGCAGAAGAGAAGAGTGAGGAGAGATTTGATAGCAGCCTTCAACTACCTGAAGGGGGATTCCAAAGAGGATGGAGCTCGGCTGTTCCCAGTGGTGGCAGATGACAGAACAAGGAGCAATAGTCTCAAGTTACAGTGGGGGCGGTCTAGGTTGCATATTAGGAAACACTATTTCACTAGGAGGGTGGTGAAGCACTGGAATGGTTTCACCTAGGGAGGTGGTGGAATCTCCATCCTTAGAGGTTTTTAAGGCCCGGCTTGACAAAGCCCTGGCTAGGATGATTTAGTTGGTGTTGGTCCTGCTTTGAGCAGGGGGTTGGACTAGATGACCTCTCGAGGTCTCTTCCAACCCTAATCTTCTATGATTCTATGAAATGTCATAATGATTCTTGAAACATGACTGCTAAACAAATTACAGGCACTGGCCAAATATTTATAGAAACGAAATAAGAAAATGACTCAGAAACCTCGCCTATGGGTTCTATTCTCTTTAGGTGTGTGTATAAATCTCATGAATCACCAATGAGATTTATGTAAACAGATAGAAAAGAAAATAAGCCAAGTCCTATGACGATATTACTAAGGCTTTCTGACGTATAGAGTAGAGACAGGTGTGGTCCAGTGACCTAAGTTCAGTAGTCGGAGCCAGGAACTCATAAATCCAAATCTTGCCAGCAGCGATGACCCCCTCTGTGGCTCTTAGCAAGTCTGTTCCGCATATTACTCAGCTACCTTACACAGTCACTGTGAGGAGTGAAATAGAAAGAGTGAGAGACAGTATGAGGTGACCCAGTGTGCTGTCTTGAGCTAGGGAGGCAGTGTGGTCCAATAGATACAGCAATGGCCCGGGAGCCAGGAGAGCTGGTTTGTATTCCTGGCTCTGCCACTGACCTGCTGTGTGACCTTAGGCAAGTCACTTTCACTATGTTTTCTCTCCCACCTTTGTTTGTCTTGTCAATTTAAATTGTAAGTTCTTTGAGCCAGGGACTTTCTCTCATTGTGTCTTAATAGAGAGCCAATGAGGTCTGATCTTGATTGGGGCTGCCAAGTGCTATTGTTATACAAATAATAAATATCTGACCAGACCTGGCTTTCATTTTTAGACAAGTTCCTGAGTCCTGAATTAAAAAGTCATATTTTATGCATCACAGCTGTGAAAATCCACACACAATACCACTAACTAACACTGTTAGTTGGATCTGGGGGCAGTTCATACAACTGTGGGAATGCTCTTGAAAACAATTATGATGTACTAGTTCTTTACTTCCATTATTAGCTTCACTGCAGCAGCACAATAGAGCCTTTATTATATGCTCTGCAGTACCTCTATACAGTGTGACACTAAAACATATTGTTCTGTTTGTTTAATCATGTAAAATGCTATTCTTTTAGTTTATTTTCAAAATAAGGCTTGCAGTGTGAGATAGTGAAATAAGATCTATTTATAAGTAGATTGCTTATAGTGTGTTACCTCTGAATCGGGGACTTTGTGCAAAGGCAAGATGAAGAATTGATCAGAGAAGCTGGCCAGAAGAAGGAATGCAAACAGATTTGAAACTTGGTGCAAGAGAAGGAAGTCTGCAGTAAGCAGTGGGAAGTGGAGGGACCAAGACTGGCTCACTCTTAGAAAAAAAACACAGTATTCTACAACAATGGGTCAAAACATCACAGTTTGCAATTACTGTTATGTTTTGACCCATTCTCTCACTGCTTACCCCAGACATCTTTCTCTTGCCCCACATTGGATCGCATTCTGAGATTGAGATTTCAAAGCCTCCTAGGGTGTTTAACCACACAATTCCCATTTATTTTAATTGTAACTGTGTGGCTAACTCCCCTATGTGGCTTTGACAATTTCAACCGGGGGATTTGTAGATGGAAATGAATGGAGTGGAATCTGGAGAAGGCAGGGGAATCTCTGTAAGGAAAGGATGACTACAGTGGGTGTGAGGAAGGAGTGCAGAATGCTTTGACATACCTGTGCAGGAGTGGGAGCAGTAGAGCCTATTAACATAAACCTATTCCTGTTTAGATTAGTAAATCGTTGTCATGAATGTGAACTTTCATATAAACCCATCCAGAAAGTCGCTATATAATATATGACTATTTCCAAAGAATGACATGTGCTATTCCTGGCAATAATGCCATCATATAAATATAAACAATGCCATTGTACAAGAGATTGTGGCAAATAAGAGCAGCATCCTACTTACAATACAATTTAATAGATTAAACCACTGCCTTTTTAGAACATCCTGAAAGACCCACCTATCTAACCTGTTTCACCATGAATGTAAGGAGACAGTTTAGCATTTGTTTTACTGCCATTGAGGAGTAAAGTAGTGTCAATCTTTGTACCCAGTAAAAAGTGATGGATTCCATTTCAGATAGATGGGGTGAAATCCTTTGTACAGATTGTATCAATAACTAATCTATTTTCTAGGTTTGGGGTGATCCATTCCGTGTTTACAAATTTACTCCTGTGGACAAACGGAGTGTTAACAGAATCAAAACACCAACTCAATGAACACAAGGAAAGACTAATCACACTTGGTTTTGAAAACATAACAATAGGTAAGCTAAAGGGTTGGTATGTTTTTGGAAGTTCTGCTATAATGCATGATCATTCTAAATATGGTATCCCACCAGGTCAACGGTAAGTATCGTACCATACATAATAAGGTCCTGATCACCTGCAATGGTCCATACATAATAATAATGGTCCTGATCACCTGCAACTCCTATTTCCTTCAGTGGGAACTGATGGTTCTCAGCACCTTAGTGAATCAGGGCCAGAGTAACAATAATGTCCACAGACTCTTAAAAAAAAAAAAGGCATGTTGTAAACATTTATTTTGTTGTATAAAATCCCCAAAGCACCTATCCAGTAAGAAAGCACAGAGGGTAATTGAACAAAGCATGTAGTTAAAAGAGATTTTAATTGGTGCCATATTGCTAGTGGTAAGTATCTCTCATGACATGGGCCCAATTCTGCAAAGCCTGTCAGGTGAGGAGTCCCACTGAATTCAATGGAACTGCTCCAGTGGCACCAATGCAGATATTTCTTAAGGAGGAGAAGCAAATTCCAGCCCCTGTCCCACCCCCACCTGGGACCCTGCTCTGGTCCCCACTCATTTTCTGGTCCTCTTCCTGCACAGTCTCCCTTGGCTGGGGAGACTCTCCTCTCTTTTACTAACACAGTACATGAGCCAGTGGCACCAGGAGTTGAATTCTCAGCAGACTTCTCTGCACTCCACCGTACAGGAACAGACTTCCAGTGCACCAGGGTGGGGGGAGAGCGGAGGAGGTCAAATTTCAGTGGCATTGCGACCGCACAGCTGAAGCGATGTTCCAGACCACTCTGGCAGCAGCTGTACTTATTTAGTATTGGACCACTGCTTAAAAGTGCTGTGCACCTCCCTCCCTGCTCTGCAGCCTATGGAACTTTAAGCGAGTGCAAAACCTTTGGGGAGGGGGTGGAGCAGCATTCGCCCTCCTCCTCCATTTACCCAGCCCCCGCCAATTAGCGCTACTGAAATAAAGATTCTGTATGTCAGTGCTGGTTTGCCTTCTGTATTGTAAGAGTCTCTTCTCATAATGGACAATTTTCTCCACTGATAACATGTCACAGACTTTGACAAATTCTGAACATGATCCTCTGAGGTGCTGAGCACCTTCAACTCCCAATGAAATCAAGGGAAGTTGAGGGTAGTCAGCAGCTTAAATGGGAGATAAATGCACTCTGCAGGTGAGGGTACTTCTCTTCTGCTCCCAAAATTGTTCTGCAGGATTGTTTGGGATCATGCTAATCCTCACTGCAGGTGATGGAGAAGAGAGCCAGAGATATGCAAGGAGTGAATAGGTTTGCAGCTTTGGTGTAAATACTTTTTCCCGAGTTAATCCAATAGCACCTGGATCTTAACAACCCCTTGTTTTGGTTTTTCAAAACCAAAACCCAAACCAACCACATTTTTGTCTCTCTCTATTGCAGATTAGCTGAAAATAGTTTGCAATTTTCCATTACTCCCAGTAGAGTTCAAGGTAAATTCCAAAACTGGTAAAAAATATACTTAATAATTAGGGTTGCCAACTTTCTATTGGCACAAAACCGAACACCCTAGCCCTGCCCCTTCCTCGAAGCCCCGCCCCTTCACCCGAGGCCCGACCCCCCACTCATTACATTCCTCCTCTCTCGGTGGCTTGCTCTCTCCCACCCTCACTCACTTTCACTGGGCTGGGGGGTTGGGGTGCGAGAGGGGTGAGGGCTCTGGGGTGGGGCTGGGGATGCAGGGTTTGAAGTGCAGGAGGGAGCTCTGGGTTTCGGAGGGGCTCAGGGCTGGGGGTTGGGGTCAAGGCTCTGGGCGGGAGCTGGAGATGAGGGGTTTGAGGTGCAGGAGGGGGTTCCAGGTTTGGAGGGGGGCTCAGAGCTGGGGAAGGGGATTGGGGTACTGGGTTGGGGCACGGGCTTACCTGCGGCGGCTCCCAGTCAGCGGTCCAGTGGGATGCTAAGGCTGGCTTCCTGCCTGTCCTGGCAGCGCGGACTGCGCTGCATCCCGGAAGCAGCCAGCAGCAGGTCTCACTCCTAGGGAGAGGCGGGCAGGCGGCTTTGTGCGCTGCTCTCACCTGCAGGCACTGCCCTCTCCAGCTCCCAATAGCCGGTGCTGACCGGAGTGCCAGGGTCCCTTTTCAACCGAGTGTTCTGAAAACCGGACACCTGGTCACCCTATTAATAATATAGTCGACATTTTCAAAAACTACCTCTGAAATTGGACCCACAGTTTTATACCTACAATTTACAAGTTTTATCCCGTACAGGTACAAATAGAATCCAGATGCCGCATTACCTGATTGCTGCTGCAGATCCAGTATTTAGATATGTAGTTCAGAGATTTTCTCCAGTTGTACTGCATAGAGCACTGGTGGTCTGTGGAGAACATGCCAGCGTCCAGTAGAGAGCAGGTTATTGGCTTCCCTCCTAGTTTCCATCTGTTAAATTGCATTTAGAGACAGCTAAACTACATTCAAACATTCAGAACCTCAAAGATACGAACACCAGAGTTCTGGACTTACCAGTCAACCAGACACCCTCTGGAACCGGAAGTAATCAGGCAGCAGCGGAGACGCACACAGACACAAAAAAAGCAAATACTTTACTGCCTTGGGACTTTAGCCCTGGGGCTCAGGGCTTCAGCCGGGGGGGTGGGGGTTAAGGCTGCAGCCACAGTGTAGGTGGGGATCAGGGCTCTGGGCAGGGTGGGGGTCATGGCTTCTGACCCTTGGGATCACCAGGGCTCAGGGCTTTAGATCTGGGGGGGAGCACTGGGGCTTGGGGCTTCAGCCCCATGGCTCCGCTCCTAGTTTCAGTCTGGGGCTTGGGGCTTCAGCTCTGTGGCTCCTTTCCTGGCTTCAGCCCGAGCCCCGGCCCCCCCATGGCAGAAGCCAGGAACGGAGCCACAGGGCTGAAGCCCCGAACCCTGGCACCCCACCTCCCCCTGCCCATGAGGCTGAAACCAGGAACAGAGCCACAGGGCTGAAGCCCCGAGCCCCAGCGCTACTTCCAGATCCAAAGGCCTGAGCTCTAATGCTCCCGGTGGTCAGAAGCCCGGACCGCCCCCTACCCAGAGCTCTGCCCCCCCTTCCCCGCATGGCTGCAGCCCCAATGTCCCCTCCCCCAGTGGCTGAAGTCCGTAAGGTCTTGTTTGGAGTTACGGACATTTCAGAGTTATGGACAACCTCCATTCCCGAGGTGTCCAGGTGTCTGAGGTTCTACTGTATTACTTTTCTATGTGATAAATGGCTGTGGTTGCCACAGAAGAGATGCAATTGCAAATCGTAAAACATAGTCCATGCAATTGTGGATGACTGAAGTAGGTGATCGATGAGACAGTCTCTATATTAACATGTGTTCCACATCAAGTACTGATTTGAGAACTCTGTTTGCACCTCTGTGTAGTTCGCACTAAAAACAAAAACCCCACAGGCACAAATATGTGTGGGTGAAATTTTAGACCCAAGTTAGCACATAAGAACAGCCATACTAGGTCAGACCAATGGTCCCTTTAGCCCAGTATCCTGCCTTCTGACAGTGGCCAGTGCCAGTTGCTTCAGAGAGAGGGAAAGAACAGAACAAGGTAATTTGAATGATTCCTCTAGTCCAGTCCCAGCTTCTGGCAGGTTGAGGTTTAGGGAGCATGGGGTTTCGCCTCTGACCATTTTGGCTAATAGCCATTGATAGACCTATCCTCCATGAACTTATTTGATTCTTTTTTTAACCCAGTTATACTTTTGGCCTTCACAACATCTCCTGGCAATGAATTCCACAGGTTGACTGTGTGTTGTGTGAAGAACTGCTTCTTTAGGTTTGTTTTAAACCTGCTGCCTATTAATTTCATTGGGTGACTCCTACTTCTTGTGTTATGTGAAGGGGTAAATAACACCTCCCTATTCAATTTCTCCACACCATTCATGATTTTATAGATCAGTATCATATCCTCCCTTAGTTGTCTCTTCTAAGACGAAAAGTACCATGCTTTTTAATCTCTCCATGTATAGAAGCTGTTCCATACCCTTAATCATTTTTGTTGCACTTCTCTACACCTTTTCCAATTCTAATACATCTTTTTTGAGATGGGTCAACCAGAACTGCACACAGTATTCCAGGTGTGGGAATACCATGGATTTAAATAGTGGCATTATGATATTTTCTTTTTAGATATTTTTATTATCTATCCCTTTCATAATGGTTCCTAACATTCTGTTAGTTTGACTGCTGCTGCACATTGAATGGATGTTTTCAGAGAACTATCCATGATGACTCCAAGATCTCTTTCTTGAGTGGTAACAGCTAATTTAGACTGCAACATTTTGTATGTATAGTTGGGATTATTTTTTCCAAAGTGCATTATTTTTCAATTATTAGCACTTAATTTCATCGGCCATTTTGTCACCGTCACCCAGTTTAGGAGATCGCTCTGTAACTCTTCACAGTCAGCTATGGACTTAACTATATTGAGTAATTTTGTATCATCTGCAAATTTTACCACCTCACTATTCACCCCTTTTTCCAGGTCATTTATGAACATGTTAAATTTAACATCCTTGTAGGGTACCACAGTAGCATTTAACTTCAAAAAGGGGAACTACACAAAAATGAGGAGGCTAGTTAGATGAAATTAAAAAGAATAGTCACAAGAGTGAAATGCCTGCAAACTGCATGGAAGATTTTAAAAAAACCCACAATAGAGGTTCAAACTAAATGTATATCTCCCCCCCCCCCCCCCCCCAAAAAAAAACAGTAAGAAGACCAAAAATGTCACCATGGCTAAACAACAGAGTAAAAGAGGTGGTTAGAAACAGAAAGATATCTTTTAAAAATTTGAAGTAAAATTCTACTGAGGAAAATAGAAAGAAGCATAAATTCTGGCATGCCAGATTTATTGTAAAAGTATAATTAGGTAGGCTAAAAAAGACTTTGAAGAGCAACTAGCAAAACACACAAAACTAACAGCTAACATTTTTTAAGTACATCAGAAGCAGGAAGCCTGCCAAACAATCAGTGGGGCCACTGGATAATTCAGGTGCTAAAGGATCACTCAGGGAAGACAAGGCTATTGCAGAGAAGCGAAATGAATTATTTGCATTGGTCTTCACTGCAGAGGATGTGAGGGAAATTACTACACCTGAGCCTAGGGTGACCAGATGTCCCGATTTTATAGGGACAGTCCCTCTTTTTGGGTCTTTTTCTTATATAGACTCCTATTATTACCCCTCACCCCCTGTCCTGATTTTTCACACTTGCTGTCTGGTCACCCTACCTGAGCCATTCTTTTTAGGTGACAAATCTAAGGAACTGTCCCAGTTTGAGGTGTCAATAGAGGAAGTTTTAGAACAAATAGATAAATTAAAGAGCAGTAAGTCACTAGGACCAGATGGTATTCATCCAAGAGTTCTGAAGGAACTCAAATATGAAATTGTAGAACTACTAACTGGTATGTAACCTATCACTTATACCAGCCTCTGTACCAGATGATTGGTGGGTAGCTAATGTGTAGCTGATTTTTTTAAAAGGCTACTGAGGTGATCCTGGTAATTACAAGCTGGTAAGCCTAACTTCAGTACTAGGCAAATTGATTGAAACTATAGTAAAGAACAGAATTATCAGATACATAGATGAACACGATATGTTGGGGAAGAGTCAACATGGTTTTGTAAATGAAAACCATGTTTCACCAATCTGTTAGACTTCTTTGAGGGGGGTCAACAAACATGTGAATAATGGTGATCCAGTGGCTATATAGTGTACTTGGACTTGGTGTCCCAAAACACCTGACTTCTAGAATCTGGGACTGGGTGACAGGAACTGGATCACTCGATAAAGTGGCCTGTTTTGTTCACTCCCCTTTGAAGCATCTGGCACCGGCCACTGTCAGAAGACGACATACTGGGCAAGATGAACCAATGGTCTGACCCAGTATGACCATTCTTATGTTCTTATGTTGAACAGCACAGGTACCAGTACAGATCATTGGGGGGATGCTGCTATTTACCTCTCCCCATTGTGAAAACTGTCCATTTATTCCTAACCTTTCTTTCCTATCTTTTAACCAGTTACTGATCCATGAGGGGACTTTTCACTCTTATCCCAGGGCTGGTTTGTTTGTTTAACAGCCTTTGACGAGGGATCTTGTCAAAGGCTTTCAGAAAGTCTAAGTACACTATAGTTGTGACCTGTTTGAAAATTTGTCCCATATATGTACATTTATATATTACAGATAAATTCAATGCAAAATAAAAGTGATAATTAGTTTCTCCTTTACTATCCTGACAAGATTGAGCCTGTGTTTTCCCTACGACAGGTGGTAGAAGCCATAATTCACAGTTTGGTAGAGAAATGGGAAGGGAATTGATTTTTAAATATTTTATTTTAAATAAAAATATTGGTAATATTTAAGTGTAAGTATATAAAGACCAATTATCCTATCACTTACACATGTGTAAATCAGGAATAAAGTCAGTGCAGTTACATTGGTGTATAACTGAAAGGGGAACTAGGCCCCTACACAGTTAGGACTCAATTCTGCATCTGTTCCAGATATGGAACTCCTATTGGCTTCTGTAGGAGTTTCATCTGCAGAATGGAAGCAGAATCAAGCCCCTACTCGTTTGGGATCTTAAATATTTTAAATACATTGTTCCCTCAAAGCTGTGCTGAACTTTAAGAGATGTCTGTGAATTTTTAACATTCATTTTTTATAAGGATTTTGCCTAGAAAATGTAATAAGGCTATAGTTCAAATTTTGGAGGAGGTGCAAAAGTTGCTCTCAGACTAGTGATTTTAGTGTCCAACACCCAACTAAATTTTTTTTTTTTTTTTTTTTTGCAGGTGACTAAATGTACGACATGAGCTGTCTGACTGAAATCATTATTCTCCCTGTTGTGGTTGTCTCATTTAAAAGAAAAAACATTTATTTCACAACAAATTCTAATCTCTTTCTCCTTTTTTTGTTTTGTTTTAGATGACCATGCACCCCAATGTAATTGTACAACAACTCTCTGTTCGATATTTTCTCAAGGAATGTATTACCTTTATCCCTTCAACATAGAGTATCATATTTTAGCATCCACAATGCTCTATGTCCTGTGGAAGAATATCGGACGCAAAGTAGAACACCACCACCAACACAAAATACTGTTCAAGTTTCATGGCATAACAGTGGGCACGATTTTTGGACTAATTGTGCTGATTAGCACAATAGCAGTCGTTGTTGTGTACTTAATTCAGATGGGACGTTCGAAAATCAAGAGTGAGTTAGCACTTACTATGTTTTACTTATATGGTATCTCCGTACTGACTCTTATGTGTGTAGCTGGAATTGTCGCCCTTCTAATTTACAGACTAGAAGAAAGATCAATGGATAATTCAAAAAATCCTGCCAGGAAACTTGATGCAGACCTATTAGTTGGCACAGCTTCAGGTTCCTGGCCTCTCTCTTGGGGTTCTATCCTAGCAATTATCTGTGCCCAGTCTCATCCGCAATACACATGGTACAATCTTCCTTATTCCATCCTGGTTATTATTGAGAAATATATTCAGAATCTCTTTATCATTGAGTCCATACATCGTGAACAGGAAAAGGTGAATGATGATATTAAAACTCTTCGAATAGTAACTGTATCCAGTGGGAGCACTCTGTCACGTACCCCTTCATACAAAGAAATTTACACTGGAGCAGCTGATATGGACAATGGAAAGTTTCCATACATGTTTGATGGGAATATCTACATGAGAGAAAGAAGTGGCGGTGATGGTTTTGATGAAGTCAGGAGTCAAGCTAGCAGTCCAGTCACACACTCAACCTCCGATTTCTCACTGTATAGTCGAAACTCAGTTAACAATAAGAGGAGAATCCTGAAGAACATTGCAGCATTTTTAGTCCTGTGTAATCTTTCGGTAAGGTATTTTGAATGTAATTCACAAAATTAATACCAAAAAGCTCCCTAAAACCACCAAGACTGAGAAGAATATTAATGTTACTCAGTTTTACTCTTTATAATAAGTGAATTCTAGTGCTTGTGAAAGGAGGTGGATTGACTGCACCATTGGGGAATAATGTCTACTTAGAAGTGGAATAGGCACGGGAGAAGGTATTTAACCTTGCAGACTAAAGTCTGTTTATCCACAGTACAGGAATGGCACAGGCAGTG